GAACTTCATCATTCATACATGGGGTTTTGATGTTTACACCGTGTTCCAAATTATTATGCAGATGATATTTTTCTCATCTACCTAAATAATTGATGTAAATAACAGTCGGCATAATTCTCATGTTACAACTAGAAGAGTACAATTCACATTTTATTGAACAAACCTCCTAATAACAGGATTTTTGTTCCAAATTATTCCGCACAGGAAGTTTCAAAACACTTTATAGGTTGTAAAGAACTGAAAATTGTCATTTGTTGTGTTTGCAGCATATTTACTGAAATCAAAAGCTATTTCAATCAAACTTTTAACAACATTGTAACTTTGTAAACATTTGAAGCGGTCACGTTACATTGTAACATAGGAGCCCTTATCTGATAGCAGATCACAAGTCTTGCATCCATTGAACTTGGGAGTTTTTGGACAGTTTCTGCTTGAATTTGTTTGCCAGATGTCAGAATAGCCTCCCAGAGCTGCTGTTTGGATGTAAACTGCCTCCCACCCTCATAGATCTTTTGCTTGAGGATGCTCCAAAGGTTCTCAATAGGATTGAGGTCAGGGGAGGATGGAGGCCACATCATGACTTTCTCTCCTTTTATCCCCATAGCAGCCATTGATGCAGAGGTATTCTTTGCAGCATGAGATGGTGCATTGTCATGCATGAAGGTGATTTTATTACGGAAAGCATAGTTCTTCCTTCTGTACCAGGGAAGAAAGTGGTCAGTCATAAACTCCACATACTTTGCAGAGGTCATCTTTACACCTTCGGGGACCCTAAAGGGGCCGACCAGCTCTGTTCCCATGATTCCAGCCCAATACATGACTCCACCACCGCTTTGCTGACGTTGCAGCCTTGTTGGAACAGGGTGGCCGTCCACCAACCTTCCACTACTCCATCCATCTGGACCATCCAGGGTTGCACGGCACTCATCAGTGAACAGGACTGTTTGAAAATTAGTCTTCATGTATTTTTCTGCCCAATGCAGCCGTTTCTGCTTGTGAGCATTGGTTAGTGGGGGCCGAATAGAAGGTTTCTGCACAGTTGCAGGACTCTGGAGGACTCTACACCTTGATGTCCGTGGGACTCCAGAGGCACCAGCAGCTTCAAATATCTGTTTGCTGCTATGTAATGGGATTTTAGCAGCTGCTCTCTTGATCCGATGCATGGATCTGGCAGAAATCTTCCTCAATGTGCCCTTATCTGCACCAACCCGTCTGTGCTCTGAATCCGCCACAAATCTCTTCATAGTGCGATGATCACGCTTACGTTTTTGTGAAATATCGAATGTTTTCACCCCTCGTCCAAGACATTGAACTATTTCACTCTTTTCGGCAGCAGAGAGATCCTTTTTCTTCCCCATATTGCTGGAAAATGGTGCTCTGCTTAATAATGTGGAATGCCGTCCTTTAGTAGTTTTTCCTTCAATTGGGCTCACCGGCCAATCTAATTATCACAGGTGTCCGAGATTGTTTTCAGTGATCAAAAGAGCCCTGACACACAATGCCATCCATGAGTTACACTGAAAAAAAATATTTCATCTTTGTGACACTTAAATGGAATTTGCATAATAATTTGGAACGCGGTGTATATATGATAACATGCTTGGACATTTCTCTGAACTCATCAGTACTTCAGGATCACAAGAATGACTCGGCACATCTAGTGCAAAGATTCAAGCTTACATTTCTTGCAGTGACACCAAAAGGTTTCAGCAGCAACAGCATTGCAGCATTGTTCATTCTACTCACGTGAAAGGCAATGTGTTGGGTTTACTGGTTTTACCAGATAAGCCAGATAATGTTGTGGTTTTATTTGACTTCTCATATGGTACAATATCAGGTATTTAGTGGCCTAATGCACACACATAATACGTATGGGGGTTGATTTACTAAAACTGGAGAGTGCAAAATCTGGTGCAGCTCTGCATAGAAACCAATCAGCTTTCAGTTTTCTGGTCAAAGCTTCATTGAACAATCTGAAGTTAGAAGCTGATTGGCTACCGTGCAGAGCTGCACCAGATTTTGCACTCTCCTGTTTTAGTAAATCAACTCCATGATGTGTTTGTAAGTAACTTGCGCATGGTTTGGATATGTTTTATATAATGTAATGAACATATAGCATAGTCTTATGCTAAAGTGTACCGGATGTCGTATTTACTCTCCAGCGCCTCAGGATATGCACAGCCAAAAGGGAAGCCAAGGGTACCAGGACAGCGAATACCAAAGGAAATGCTTCAGGGGTGCAGCCCTCCTCAGACGGGGAGATCAGCCACTGGATAGAGAGAAAACAGGTGGCGCACACACCTAGTGCATTATCCAAGGTTTATTGTAAGGAGTGAAAGAATAATAAAAACATACTCACAGATGAAGCATGTATCTAAAAAGCATAGAAAAATGACGATGGCCACAACGGCAGGCAAGGTGTTCTCACTGTCAGTGCGGTCAGATGTCTGACGCGTTTCGGGGACGAATCCTTTTCCTCAGAGCTGATGACCAGCCACTGATGCAGATGTGTAATGGATGGAAAGTAGGAGCCTTGCTGTGGCCATTGTCATTTTTCTATGCTTTTTAGATACATGCTTCGTCTGTGAGTATGTTTTTATTATTCTTTCACTCCTTACAATAAACCTTGGATAATGCACTAGGTGTGTGCGCCACCTGTTTTCTACAACTGTTTGAAGATGGCAACCGCCAGTGAAGTGAGCAAGTTTGAGCAGTTTTGTTTTTAACCGCTCTTCTCTGCCCTTGCAGTAGAGTGAGTTGCCATAGGAACCCAGGTGTGTGAGCAGGCAGCAGAGTGACAAGCCACTCCCCCAGTTACTCCCCCCCCCACTCCAGTTGTAGACTACTGATGGAGGCAAGAACACTTCACACAATTTCACCAAAAATTGGAGCTTTTCTAGTTTACTAAAGAGTGCAAAATCAGGCTCACTTCTGCATAGAAACCAATCAGCTTCTAACCTCAGCTTGTTCAGTTAAGATATGGCAACAACACCTGGAAGCTGGTTGGTTTCTATGCAGAAGTAAGCCTGATTTTGCACTCTCCAGGGTGTCTGACCACTGCAGAGAGATCACTGCTAGCACACAGTGTCAGACCACTGCAGAGAGACCACTGCTTGCACACAGTGTCAGACCACTGCAGAGAGACCACTGCTTGCACACAGTGTCAGTGTCAGAGAGACCACTGCAGAGAGACCACTGCTTGCACACAGTGTCAGACCACTGCAGGAAGACCTCTGCTTGCACACAGTGTCAGACCACTGCAGAGAGAGACCACTGCTTGCACACAGTGTCAGACCACTGCAGGAAGACCTCTGCTTGCACACAGTGTCAGACCACTGCAGAGAGACCACTGCTAGCACACAGTGTCAGACCACTGCAGAGAGACCACTGCTTGCACACAGTGTCAGACCACTGCAGAGAGACCACTGCTTGCACACAGTGTCAGACCACTGCAGAGAGACCACTGCTAGCACACAGTGTCAGACCACTGCAGAGAGACCACTGCTTGCACACAGTGTCAGACCACTGCAGAGAGACCTCTGCTTGCACACAGTGTCAGACCACTGCAGAGAGACCTCTGCTTGCACACAGTGTCAGACCACTGCAGCAGAGAGACCACTGCTTACACACAGTGTCAGACCACTGCAGAGAGACCACTGCTTGCACACAGTGTCAGACCACTGCAGGAAGACCCCTGCTTGCACACAGTGTCAGACCACTGCAGAGAGACCACTGCTTGCACACAATGTACTGCAGCAGATTCCTGTCTGTGTTATGAGGACAGGAATCCTCAGCCCCACCAATTTACTATATTACTGTCACTGATATCAGGAGGGAGCAATATGCAGCCATCTGATTAGAAGTGGAGTCTGTTCACATTTAATTCTTAGATATGAGGGCTGCAAATGTCTTTTCTTCTGGGAATATTTGTGAATATTTTCTGTTAGGAACATTTGGTCTTGTATTTGTAATCATTATGAAATACACTACGGATGGTTTTGTTTAGTATTTAGCCGTGCATGGCAAAGAAAAATAAATAATGAGCAGCTTTTCAGCGAGCTCTACATAAAGGCTGGATTAGAAGTGCAGTATTTTAAATACAAACCATTTATTGATGTCATATTAAACTTCATTTTCATCTAGCTATCTATCCTCTTCTGCACTATTGATAGTTTTAAATATACATATATAAGGTTGACTCTCAATTTTAAATAAACAAATGAAAACATAAGACCCTAAATGTAAAAGTATATTGTGAGCGATCAGCCATGGAAGCCTTTCACTGGTCAAGTCGCTCACTATACTGTATCGTCTCTTTTTTCTAAACTAATATTCTATATTTAAAGGGTTTTCACGCTTGACTGTTGTAGTTAAACTGCTTATTTCAGAGCTAATTATCAGGTTTAAGCAGCTTGAGTGGGTTTTAGTCCTAGGTAAATCCAACCGTCTTGTCAGTGTTAACCATTCTGGTACCACAGTGAATATTACCGCACATTCATAGACTAAGAAGAGCTTAGCCTCTCATCCATCTCCCCTTAGGTTTCAAATACCCTGCGAGTTGTCTCATACTGTTACCTAATGATAAGAACTGATACACAAAAAGCAAACTATTTGTTGTAAACCCTTTGGGAAATGTCTTTGTGTTCTTATATTATTTGTTTATAGATGGGGGTAACCCCCTTTTCATGGGAATAATCAGCCTCTTGCTGTAAATGATGACAAATAGTCTTAATGGAAGCTTGATGGAATTCTTACCCAAAACCAAAATGCAAATTAAAGAAAGCATATCACAGCGCTCTAAAGTCAGGAATAAATACCTGTTCAATGTCAAAGAAACTGTTCAGTAATAATTTTCACTACTAGCTTGAAACAAATACCTGACCATAAGACGCGCCTAGGTTTTAGAGGAGAAAAACAAGAAAAAAAATATTCTGAACCAATGGACTGCAGACACAGTACAGGGGATGACCAGAGACTGCGGACATAGTACAGGAGATGACCAGAGACTGCGGACATAGTACAGGAGATGACCAGAGACTGCGGACACAGTACAGGAGATGACCAGAGACTGCGGACATAGTACAGGAGATGACCAGAGACTGCAGACACATTACAGGGGATGACCAGAGACTGCGGACACATTACAGGGGATGACCAGAGACTGCAGACACATTACAGGGGATGACCAGAGACTGCGGACACAGTACAGGAGATGACCAGAGACTGCAGACACAGTACAGGAGATGACCAGAGACTGCGGACACAGTACAGGAGATGACCAGAGACTGCGGACACAGTACAGGGGATGACCAGAGACTGCAGACACATTACAGGGGATGACCAGAGACTGCGGACACAGTACAGGAGATGACCAGAGACTGCGGACACAGTACAGGAGATGACCAGAGACTGCAGACACAGTACAGGAGATGACCAGAGACTGCGGACATAGTACAGGAGATGACCAGAGACTGCAGACACAGTACAGGAGATGACCAGAGACTGCAGACAGTAAAGGAAATTACCAGAGACTGCGTACCTTTGGGGAGGGAGGAGGAACGGGTACCTGAATTTGACAGGTACCCACTCCCACTTCCGTGAAGTTGTCCTTCCTTCTTCCCGCGCCGGCTTCTGTGACAGCCGGGTGCCCACTGCGCATGCGCGAGAAGCACTGCGCTTTGTGAATGGCCCGGAGCCTTCTGGGACCTGTCACGTGTCCCAGAAGACACCGGACCATTCACAAAGCGCAGCGCTTCTCGCGCATGTGCAGTGGGCACCCGGCTGTCACAGAAGTCGCCGCGGGAAGACTGCAGCGCTGGAGCGAGGAACTGGTAAGGCCCTGCAGGAGAGAAGAGCTGAGCGGCCGGCCCGATATTCTGACATGGTGGCGGCAGAAATACCGGACCGGCCACTTTACATTCGCTCCATAAGACGCACTGACATTTCCCCCCCATTTTTTTGGGGAAAAAAGTGCGTCTTATGGAGTGAAAAATACGGTACTTTTAAGGGGTGTAGCATTACTTTTTGTTTTGATCCTAGTGGAATATTTGGAGGTTAAAGATTTTTCCCGGACAGTCTTGACGAGCACGTAATGCATATGTGTATTGGCAAATGGGCCTTAATTACCACGTTCAGCACATATGTGTCCATGGCGGCCGACGTTTCTGTGCTGGGAGGGCAATCACAGCTCACAGGCAGCCTCTGGTCTCTGGTTATAATTAGGGGCCAGAAGGACAGACTCCCTAATATATGACCACTGTGACAACCAGTTACATTGATCACCCGATGGGGAAGTCTGTCCTGCCCCCCCGCCTTAAGACCCAGATAATGTGCTGCAGGGAGGGGGCAAAAAGGGGTTAAAGGGTTAGAAGTAATTGTTTAGACTCAAAGTCTATATTTATTATTGTTCTTTATTTGGAACTGCAGATGCTTGCACTTTATCTGTTTGACCTGAAAAACATGGAACACCTTCAATGCCTGACCTAAGTGTACCTTAAAGTGTATCAAATTCCAAGAAAATAAAGTCCGTATACTGCAACTTACCAGTTCCTGAACCTGATGGCTACATTATTTTTTGAGGCTTTTTTGCCTTTGTTTTCACCTGGCAATCCTTACAGTAACACACATCTTGTCCTGGGGTGACAGCACTCACTCGCTGCACAGTATCTATGGTAGGGAAGCATTGTCACCCCTCTTCTTATCTCTGTAATAGGAGGGGGTGTTCTTCTAGTTCACAGAGGAGAACTGGACAGGACAGATAACATTGCTTGGGATTTCAGTGTTGAAGAGTGTAAAAAAAGGTGGAAGTTTACTGAATCACTTGCAGGATCAGGTATTTATATTGTATTTATAGAACAGATAAAACCAATTGTTTATATTGGTACATTGAAAAGACATAATGATGTAAATAAGAGAAGTGTATTGTTACGGTTTACCTACACTTTAACCCCCCTGGCGGTATTCCCGAGTGTAGTTCGGGGTAAAGTTTCAGTACCAAAAGCGGTAACCCCCCCGAGCTACACTCGGGCTTACCATGCGGCGTTGCTCAGGGATTCCCTACAGCGCTTACCTTGTCCTTCGCTCCCGTGATGCATCCCCTGCAGCGTCCCCGGCCATCTCCTCCGGCAGATGCCGGCATCCGGCTTCCGTGTTCCGGTCCCTGTGACGTCGGGACGTACGGGCGCAGGAACCGGCGGCAAATTTGAAAATGTAAAAAAAATACTTTTAAATTTAAAAACGATTATTTTTAACTTTTAAAAAATAAACGATTATTTCATAGCAAAACATTCCTGTATCAAACCATTTCACATACATTTTGTCCCGAGTGCTTTGTCCTGTCCCCTGCCTGCATTTTGACTGTTCTTTCTGCCTGGAAACTGAGAAACGTCCATGGCGTCCAAAAAGCGTCCCTTTAGGTCAAAATCGGTTTTAGATCAGCTAGAGAACAGCGATAGTAAATCAGAACCACTTGCAGAATTGAGTGATAATGATTCGTGGGGGAAATTCCTCATCAGACACTGAAAATGATTTTGCGACTTTGCTCAGCGACGTGCGAACTTGGCGCTATATTTCACATTTCAGTGTTTTTGGTTTGATTATATTATTGAATTAAATGTATTATTATTATATTATTATTTTTTATGATTATTTATTAAATTATAATTTATGATTTTGTGTTTCAAGTTTTATCATACCCGGGATGTTTACTAGACTCTTGTTCAGACAGATTTCAGTGAGTTATTCCTAAAAATTACAGCCTACAATAAAAAACTACATATTTCCATGCAAAAAAATGTACCACTTTCAGCACCAAGAACCTGAAATAATCAGACCGCCAGGGAGGTTAAGAACCTCTTTTAAGGTTAGAATGTTGGATTTATTGAGACATTTTTGGTCATTCTAACAGGCCCATATCGAAGGCCTTATGGTTGTTACTTTAGAAGTGGTCTGGTCCTTAGAACATCCAAGTTGTCCAAACTTAGGTGTCCATTTATGAACCAGCAGTAATAGATCACTGCTCTGTTCTCCAGCATTCTCGGAGAACACAGTTCTCCTGTGAATGCCTTTTATGAAGCATATGTAGATCAGTTCTCCAAACGAAGAGAGAACGATCTACAAACGCTGGAGAACGGTCTACAAACGCTGGAGAACGGTCTACAAACGCTGGAAAACGGCTGATTTTACTATAATCTCGCGAGATTACAGTAAAAGATCAGTTTACTAAGCGGAGGTAAATTATCTCTGCTTAGTTTGCGGTCCCTCCGATTCTCCAGCTCTGGGCTGGAGGGAGAACACAGATCTCCAGTAAAGAGCTGAACATGTTCTCCTGAGTGTCATAAACTGTGAATGAGCAGAGAATAGCTGAGATCCTCTGAATCGTAGCTATTCTGTGTGTCATAAAAGGACACCTAAATGAGGAAATCTGAACAGTTTGCCTTCAGTTACTTATTGTGATCTTTCTCACTCCACAGGAGCCAGAGCCTTCCCCCCAAAGTGTACACTAGGAAATCGCTTTGGAGCAGAAAAGAACTTGGAGGCAGCGTTGCAATAAGAAGTAAGGGGGTTGATTTACTAAAGGAAAATAGACTGTTCAATTTGCAAGGGAAGTTGCACAAGGGAATTATCCCCAGAGCTTAGCAATGAGATGAAATTCTGCTGACTTCCAACATCCAATCATGTGCAAGCAAAAATGCTGTTTTTTCCCCCCTTGCGTGTGATTGGGTATTTTTTGCAAAGTAAAACTTCTCCACTTTCAGTAAGCTCTGGGGATAATTCACTTGCAGAGTCCAACTTCTTTTGCAAAGTGAACAGACAATTTGCCTTTAGCAAGTCAACTCCGATGTGTAGTAGCAGAGAGCAGCTACTCAGGTTGGATATCTACTTATAGGCAATAAAACATCTGTGTGTAAAATATTAAATGATGTAGCAAACTACAGAGAATATTGTGTGGGGCATATAATGGCTAAAGAATTATTAAAGAAGTGCAAAATTAGGTATACCTGTATTCAAGGCTTTTTTTTCTGTGGGAACACGGGGGGGGGGGGGGGAATGCAGTTCCGGCACCTCCAGCACTGACTGTATGTAGTGGCAAGGGGTGCTGAAGGGTCTGTTGATGCTGGCTGCTGATGGGGAATCTATTTCTTTGGAGGGGATCTATTTTTCCATGTGGTCTGTTGTTGCTGGTTGGGGATCAATTTGTTGCTTGAAGGTATCCAATGTTGAGGGAGGGGCCTATTGATGTTGACTGCTGGGAAATCTGCTTTTTCTGTTGGAGGTCTATTGTTGCTGGGGGGGGAGGGGGTCTATTGTAGCTGGCAGGGAACTATTGTCAAGGGAGTCTATAGTTGCTGGGTGAAGTGGATCTGTTTTATTGCTTTTCTTGTTAAGTGTTCCTGCATGGCGACCACTTCCTGTTATCTCACATATATATTCTTATTATAGCCAAATTTACCCCCCTAACTCCTCCCACAGTTTTTACACTACATAGACAGTAATATACCGAAACGTGCGGATTGTTCCCGATTGGTGTGCTATTACTTTGTGGAACGTTTCGCCGAATGGTTCACGAAATATCGTCGTTTATGTGGTGAAATTGGTCCCATAGGAATGAATGGCGGAATGCCCAAAACTAGAGTGGGAGATGACAAAAGCTAAAGTGTGAGCTGAAAAATCAGGACATGATTTCTGAACTGCCATCACTCCCTCATTTTCAAGCCCACCTACACAAATCTTATATCAAAACGTTCAGCTATCCCTGCTGCCACTAAAAATGTCCACGGCTAAGCCATAGTCCTGATAATTTTCACAATATGACCATTTGTTTGCAACTCACGCCGCCCATTGACATTCATTGAAACTCCACTCTAGCCACCTCAAATTTGAAGGGCAATTTCTAAACTGCGACTGTGCCTTCATTTTTAATATTTCAGAGACATACTATGCATCAAAATGTAGGTCTGGGTCTTGTGATTCTCACAATATAAAGCTCTTCGGTGTAGAATTTATTATTTTTAAACTACAACCGTTTGAAGATGGTAACCGCCAGTGAAGTGAGCAAGTTGGAGCAGTTTGTTTTTAACCGCTCTTCTCTGCCCTTGCTGCAGAGTGAGTTGCCATAGTAACCCAGGTGTGTGAGCAGGAAGCAGAGTGACAAGCCACTCCACCCAGTTACTCCGCCCACTCCCCCAATTGTAGACTACTGATGGAGGCAAGAACACTTCACACAATTTCCCCAGAAATTGGAGCTTTTCTAGTTTTCATTAAAAATTTCCATACAAATTGCTTAGCACCACAAAATTATACTTGACTGCAGGGGTGGACTGACAACTCATGGGACCCCCGGGAAATAGGGGATCATAGGGCCCCTGTGTCCTCGCCCACACTCAAACCACATCCAAAAAAGCCTATGAAAGGTACCAGGGACATCTCATGTTGCCCCATACTGACCCCGGGCCCTCGGGCAGTGCCCGAGTTCCCCAATGGTCAGTCCGCCCCTGCTTGACTGTGTATTCTCTATAAGGAGCAATATTGGGAGGTGTGTAGAGGGCGGAACTAAGGGATGGCTCCCAGAGATGGGTAAGGGGTGGAGACAAGAAATTATTCAGAAGAGAGGAGTTCCTGCACTTATTCTCTGAGAAAATAAATGCCCTGCCTGTATTAGTACATCTATGTTAGGTATTCGTTTATCTATCTATCTACACAAGTTTGCACCAGACCCTTTCAGTAAATGCTGCTGAGAGAAAAGAGCAATGTAAATGATCTGTAGCTGATATTGGAGGGCTTGTTGTACACTTCTTGAATTTATGAAACCCAGATGTCCTATAGAGAAAAGACAGCTATTTTCAGAGAGATCAGATGCATATGTTGATAAATTAAACATACAGTTTTTAAGCCAAGACCTTATTCACTAAAGGGGTCCCATTAAGACTTAAAAAAAAAAAATCTTAACTGATATCATATGGTTACAGGAGCACCACTCCAGCCTTTGACCTACTAAATGTGATTTTGCATATTACAGTTCAGTCAATAATATTCTATATATGGTTCTGATCAGGGACGGACTGACCATTCGGGGACTCGGGCACTGCCCGAGGGCCCAGGGTCAGTAGGGGGCCCCATGAAATGCCCCTGGTACCTTTTATAGGCTTTTTTGGGTGTCCTTTGAGTGTGGGCAAGGGCACAGGGGCCCCATGATCCCCTATTGCCCGGGGGCCCCATGAGTTGTCAGTCCGCCCCTGGTTCTGATATAGTACTGCTATTTAATAGGTTCAGAAATATATTTGATAACAGTGGCATAAAGCTGCCATTTGAATTATTAGTAGTTATTTACTAATTATAATAATATAGGATGTACTTAGTTTTTCAATCTCCATATCAACCTATTCATAATCCATAAAGCTACATCTATAAATATAGATTCTATGTAGCCAGAAAAGAAAAAAAGTGTCAAAAAAATGCTTGGAAAAATGTAGACCCTAAAAATGTACATTTTTTGCTACGCTCACCAGCTTACACTGCTGTTTGATATGAGGCCTACCCTGTTTCCCCTAAAATAAGACCTACCCCAAAAATAAGACCTAGTTGTGATCAAGGCTTTTTTTCAGCCAGAACATGGCGGAACGCCCTTCCACCACCTCAGCCACTGGCCTTGCGCACACCCATATCTACTGTCTCTTATAAACACAGAAGCGTGGCTGAAGTGACAGCACCATCCGCTCCCACAGAACCCCCCCTACATCTGTACTCACTGTGGGACAGGGAAGGAACAGATATATGTGGGTGCAGTATGCAGTGTGTTTAGGGGCGGGACATCTCCTCCTGCAGCCTAATGCATGGAAGCCGATGCCCCAGGGGTGATCACCGGCTAGTGGGGAATAGGCAGAGCGGTAAGTGAGTGCGCTTGGTGCACTGTATGGGAAGATAGGACCCGAAATGGGAGTTACTATAGAGAGGGGCCGGCTGCTGACAGCTGTGTTTTGCAAAACTAGCTAACCATATGAGGAGGGGGAGGGGGAGGGGGGATGTGCAAAGGTGAGCTGCAGTCAGGTGTTGCAGAGGTAAATTGAGTCAGGTGAGTTGCAGACAGGGTGCATAGGTGAGCTGCGGCTGGGGGGGTGCATAGGTGAGCTGCGGCTGGGGGGGTGCAGAGGTCAGCTGAGTTGCAACCCACCTTTGCACCCCCCAGCCACAGCTCTGCTCTGCACCCCCTGGCCACAGCTCACCTTTGCATTCCCCATTTGCAACTCACCCCTTCACCCTGTCTGTGGCTCATATCTGCACCCTGTCTGAAACCCACCTGTCATCAACTGGCCCTTTCTATAGTAACCCTCATCCACAACTGCCTGCAGCTCACCTCTGCACCCCCCTGTCCACATCTGGACATTTAAAAAATAAGACCTACCCCGGAAATAAGACCTAGTGTGTTTTTTTGAGCCAAAAAAAAATAAGACAGTGTCTTATTTTCGGGGAAACACGGTATGCAGAAGGCCAAATGAGAAAGTATCAGTTTGGGTGCCACATGTGCCCATTAGTGCACAGGTCAATAGCATCACATGGTAACATGTTCAACAAGTTGGTATAAATGTGATTTTCAGCCAACATACAAATTTTAGGAAGTATCACAAACATTACTCCAATTCATGTAGGCAACAGAAAATCAAGGAAAAAAAAACCCCAAAACAATCTTGTAGCTTCCTGTATCTACGTAATTAGTCTCTAGCCAGTAAGATATGAGATTGGTGTACTAAAGGAATTGAAAAGTTTCACACAACAAATTGTATGATTATTTACATCAATTATGCAATAAAGTACAGATGAAATAAACTGTCTGCTTTTCAAATGATTGGATAATTGAAGTTAGTCTTTACTCATTTTACTATGGGAACATTCTCAAATCCTTTTGGGAATCAGCCTGAATATGTAAGATTGAAAGAGAACCAGAAGTTTAGTGACATTCAACTTCCTAAAATGTAGTGTTATTCTAATAATGGTAATTCAAAAAAAAAAGTAAAACTGAATGAGAACCTCCAAGTCAGGCCTGATTTATCCTAGATATTTGTTACAAAATGTCCACATTTTCAGCTTTTTTGAGAAAATGTATGTGTTAAGTATAAAGAGTAAGTGACTGAGAAGTGGGACTGAGCTGTTTGCTCTGTGAGCGCAGTTGCTCCTTGGAGGTATGTGTCTGCTTGATTTGTATAATGGTTCAGCTACAGTGTACATACAGCAACCTTCTACCTTTCTGGGATAGACTCGTACACTGACTTCAGTGCTTGTGATTTAATGATGGAGAAGAGTTTCCTTAGTAAACCAAATTTAGAGTGCTGGAATGCTTATCTTATATCCAGACCTTGAACATAAAAGGCATTTTATACCAGCAATTGTTCATTTAATGAGCAATTGCAGAGTACAGGACGGCTAAGGGATTGAGCTACATGCACCATTATTGCAAGAAGTATTTCGAAATACCAGAAATAGGACGTAAGCTCTGATCAGGGAGAGTGTGAGCACAATTACCTTCTTTTCAAATCCTTCTGTGACACTGCGGGAGGAAAAAGGACTTTGAAACTTGAAAGGAAAGAGCTTGCTTTCAACCTCAAAAGCTAGGAGGAAAGGGCTCTGAAATTTGCTCAGTATTCCCAATTCACCATTAGCCTGTTTCTTCCTTTAGCCTCAAGGCATTCTCCGCTTTTTGAAAAGATGTTAAGAAATTCAGTCACAATAGAGAGCCTAGTTTTGAACATGTTTCACTCGGTCCATTGAGGTCTGGTCTTCAGCCTTTGTGTGGGGTGAATTGAGCTGAGCAGCTCTCTGGCTGGGGAGAGGTGAATGAGCAGTCTCTGTGCAGTCGCAAATTTGGCAAAGAATAGATTCCCCTTCCTCTGTATGATAATCTGCATTCCTGTACAGCCCCTCTACTGGCAAAATACATACACAACCTGAGCTAAAGTTAATGGCAGCTCCTTGCTTGACAGCAGCTCTTGTCAAAATCACCTTATGGGTAATGTTGCTGTTAACCTCTCTCAAAAATGTTGTTGTTGACCCTCCTGTTATAAAGTATCAATAAAAATAATTCAATTGTTTGCATAACTTGTCAAAAAATAGAAACATTTAAGCAGTTTCTCTAGCGGTCTATGACCGTGTGACACAAGTTTAACTCCATTAACCTCCCTGGCGGTCTGATTATTTCAGATTTTTTGTGCTCAAAGCGATACATTTTTTTGCATGGAAATATGTAGTTTTTTTTATTGTAGGCCTGTAATTTTTAGGGATAACTCACTGAAATCTGTCCGGACAAGAGTCTAGTAAACATCCCGGAGATGATAAAATTTGAAACGCGAAATCATAAATTATAATTTAATAAATAATCATAAAAATAATAATATGATAATAATAAATTTAATTCAATAATATAATCAAACCAAAAACACTGAAATTTGAAATATAGCGCCAAGTTCGCACATCGCTGAGCAAAGTCGCAAAATCGTTTTCAGTGTCTGATGACGAATTTCCCCCACAAATCATTATCACTCAATTCTGCAAGTGGTTCTGATTTACTATCGCTGTTCTCTAGCTGATCTAAACCCGATTTTGACCTAAAGGGACGCTTTTTGGACGCCATGGACGTTTCTCAGTTTCCAGGCAGAAAGAACATTCAAAATGCAGGCAGGGCGCCGGACAAAGCACTCGGGACAAAATGTATGTGAAATGGTTTGATACAGGAATGTTATACTATGTGATTTTAGTGTATTTAGTGAATGTCACTTTTTGTCATTTTCAAATTTCCCGCCGGTTCCGTCCCCCGTACGTCCCGACGCTCGCAGGGGACGGAACCCAGATGACAGATGCTGGCATCTGCCGGATTACATTGCCGGGGATACCGCAGGAGGGACATCGCGGGAGCGCAGGACAAGGTAAGTGATTGAGGGATGCCGGAGCAGCGCCGCATGGTAAGCCCGAGTGTAGCTCGGGGGGGGTTACCGCTTTTGGTACTGAAACTTTACCCCGAGCTACACTTGGGAATACCGCCAGGGAGGGTTACTGATTGACATCCAAAATTAGGAAGGGGATTCAAAATAGAAAGGTTAAGAAGGAAGAACTTGTCAGGAATACTAATGTGTTCTGCACACTACCAAATATTCTTAAATCTGCTGATTGTGTGATTATCTTTTTAGCGAGAAACATGGATGGATATAGCCCACCTGAGATATAACTACACATTTGCATGAGCAGGGTGGATTTGATTTAAATCACGATTTAAATCACTAGTCAGTCAGGCTGGATGTAAATCCTAGTTTTCTACATAAAGACTAATTCTTGCTGGTATAACTTTAATATACAAGTAGATGAAGATTTTTAGAATAACAACTTTTCATATTAGTTTTTTTTTATCCCCAGTTTAATAGGTTAATCACTCATATTTGGACAAAGGTGTGCAATAGGATTGATATCCCTGGAGGTGTTTGTAACATGGAACATGATTTGGCATTGTTGGAAGATGGGTCAAAAAAGTGGAAATTGCAGTTCAATGTTTCTAAGTGTAAAATAATGCACCTAGGGAAAGAATCCCTTGAGAGAAAGTACAACATTGGGGGTACATCGTTGGCCAGCACTACAGAGGAAAAGGACTTGGGGGTACTTA